GCCCCCCTCCCTCCTTGAGCTTGGCTTTCGTCCCGGCGGAATTAGAGCGTCGTCGGTCTGTCACTCTCGCGCGCGCGATGATGACAGCCATCGGTCTCTGCGTCTCTCCTGGCGGTCCTCGTCGTTGAATCGACCTCGAGAGAGGCCGGACGCGATTCCTCGTCCGCCGCGCATTCACAGTTTATCTTACTCTCCGATCGCCACACTCTCCACATATCATAAATATTTATATATAATATATTTGCTTTCTTCTCCCTCTCTTCAGATATCGGTCTCTAAGTGTGTCTCAGCGCGACGAGAGTCGTGTGCGTGTCGAGTAGTCTGTCGTGTATGTACACCCCACCCCTCGTGTATGCATGTGTGTGTGTGTGCGTGTGTGACCTCTCCTCCCCTCCGGTGTACACACTCCTCTCGCGCATACGCACGTGTGTGCACGACAATTCGATCGCTTCTCGCTTCCTTTTGTCCTGGGTTTCTCGCGTTTCCTCCGGTTTCTCACTTGGATACGGCGTTAATTAAGACGTGTTCTCCTTATGTTACGACGCAAAGTAATCCCTTAGCTGAACTCGATAGGGACACTCGGTAGGTGTTCGGTTATCGATACGGAATCGGTGATGACCGATCGAGGGGCTCCTTAATCTCGGATGTGCATAGATCAACGCGGCCTTCGGGGTGTGAATGCCTGAATCTCAAAGATCGGCCGGTTCGTCCGGTCCGTTTCGGAAGCGCTCGCCTTTATTCGCGTCGCAGACGTCAGAAAAGCGTTTCTCGGCGCGCTCCTCCTCGAGGTTCCCGATCTCGCTTTACCGAACGGCGGCCTTAGCCCCCCTTCTTTCAAAAAGTCCCCCCGTTTTATTCATGATCGCGGACGCCGCGCGATATCGCCGATTCGATTCTACGCGAGCGAACGCGGCGGCTCGATTCTTATCCCGATTTATTCTCGATCAGTCTCTATTTTGCGCCTCCCGACCCGAGGCTTTTCCTTCGGTTTCGTTACGTATTTGTAATTCCATTGACATTTCAATTCGCATTGACAACGCATCGATGACGACGTGTTAACGCGCGGGATCCCCCGATGAGCGCGACACTTTCGCGCGGCTAATCGCAACGGGCGGAACAAAGTTACTCCCGACTTTTCGTCTTTCCTTCTTCTCTCTTTCCGGTTTTCTTTACGTACGTATTTCCGATACTCGCACTTTGAACTCCCGTTGCCCCTGCTCTCTCGCTTTCGTCCGGCGGCTCTCTCTCTGTTTTAACGGCAGCTTGTTCAGGGGATGGAGATTGACAGGAACGCGCTTCTCCTCGGCACGCGTACGCGCACGACGAAAGAAAAGCGGCCGAATGCCTGCGATTCGCGAGGAAACCGCGAGGGAACCGTTTCTCCTCTCGCTTTCTTCCCCCGCTGCTCCCCCCCCCCCTTTTTTTCTCTTAATTATCTTAACTCGATACGTGTCTCCGCTCATGCATCGCAAAAGTTAGCTCGGACACGCCCGGATAGACGAGGTGATAACGTTATCGAATACAACGGAAAGATGTTACTCAGTAATGTCGTCCGATATCGGCGAACGATGACGTCACGTGACGTCGTAACGCGGTTTGAGTTGAAACGAGAACCGGCTTCCGGTTCCTTCGCGCTTAATTCGCCGGCGGCGAGCAAACGAGTATTCAAAGTAGAGTCTAATTTGTACTGTACGGGTTAGGCCGGGCGACAGAGCGTACACTTCACGAAGTATCGCGGTCTTTTCCTCTTTTTCCTTTCTTTCTGCCTCTATTTTTTACACCGTGTGCAATAGACAACCGATGTAGGATATAAAATGCGAATCGGGATACGCGGTGGTTGCGTGCGTGGTGAAAGCGATTTTTTCCGGACACCCTCGGATCCGATCTTCGAGATCTCCTCTCGTCGTGCTTTCGTTTAGCCGTGAATAAACTCAGCTCACGATTAACGGGGTAAATGGAACGCCGCTTTGAACGTTCCGTCCGTTTCCGCGTGTGTGTAATAATTTGCGACACAAATAAAAAAACGATGCGTGCGCTGCGACGTGCGGGCGTTGTCGACTCCGTGGAGACGTGTTTCCGCACGTGAACGTCGATGAGATTGCGAGCGAGCTTTTCGAGTTCCGCGACGGGCGATTCGCGGCTTATGTACACACCATTGGGGAATGAGAGGACGATCGGTGCTGCCGCGTACACGGAGAAAATATTGCGGTAAAAATTGCCACAAAATTTGGTAGTGCCTGGGCATTACCAAATGAATCCCGGAATTACGGCTGAAAGTACGATGTGTCGTAATCTTTAGTGACGTATGTCATGTTTACACGCACGAGTAAAAAATGTGCAAATAACGCTGAAACCCGCTGAAATTTTGGTGTTGCTTTCGTTAAGAAGGTTCGAGCGGATTACCAGATATGTGATAAATCTGTAATATGTACATGATACGAAAATGTAACGGTTGAAAGTTTATAATTTATAATAATATTCAAGACGCATACATGTAAGAATATATTTAAACACTTATATACTTCTTTCTATTATCTGTGCATTTCTATTAGATCAACTGGTGTATAAATATAGCATTAATAGAGAAATAAAAAATAATGATATTTTCGTATTTGTGATATTGCGTATATCATCATGTCTATCTATATATCTATCATCCACTTCATTTCAAATTAACATTTATTATTCAGTTAGTGAAATAAATGTATAGAAACGAAATTTTGCTGAATAAATAGTAAATTTATGAGAGGCTCCCTTTGATGCGCCATTGAAAATACGGCATTTAGCGCTCGAACCTCCTTAACATGGGCAGTGACTATTAAAAAGTACACAAATATACGTTAAGTTAACACATTTACCCTGTTAACATATTAAATGTTAACATATTTACTTTGTTAGAATAACACAAAAGTTTTAGTGGACCGATTATTTACACAAAACTTTTGCTTCGCTGAAGATATCACAACACATATAATAATTTCGATAATAATTCCGTTATAATCCGGACATTGATTCCACTACAAATTTTCATAGTAAATTTTACTAACAATATTTTCTCCATGCACATTAGCGGCAATGCGTCCTCGTCCGAGCGAGCGATGAATACGGAAAAACACGTAAGTCGATCGAGCGTGAATTCGAAAAGAGCGTCGCTTCACTTTTGGTATGTTTCGGAGTTCTCATATAATACGCGTGGTTAGCGGCAAATTACCAGAGAGAGCATTGCGGTTGTATCGTCGCCGGCGAGTCGTTGTTATACGTCTTCGTTTCGACGAAAGGAGAGGAACGAGGGAGGGAAAACGTATAAGCTAACGCGAATCTCCAGCGCGTCTCTCTCCGCCGACGTCGAGAGGGGTCGTTCCGTCGGCTTCTTCGCCCCTTCGTGTTCCGCGTGTTCTCACGCGATGATGGGGTGGTCCTCGCTACCCTCTTCCCAAGAGAGTACCTTACGTACATAGCAGTCAGCGCGTCAGAGACGTTATCAAAAGCCATGTAAGTCTTCTACATGAAGAATGTGCGTTCGTTTCGTCCGCGTATCGCGAAGCGACGAGCTTCAAAAGCGATAGCACGATATCGTCGTTTATAGTTTATGTTTTTCTTTCTTGTTTTTTGATTTGACCTTGCCGGGCGCGCTCGTGAAGTCGCTCGTCCGAACCTTTCCGAGCCGAGCGCAATTCGATCGTTCAAGGATCAACGGGCCAACGAGCGAGTATCCGCCGAGTCGCTGATATTTATCTTCGCTAAGTGGCAGTAAAAAACGCGATAAGCTGTGCGGCGTCGGGGGGATGAGAAACGAGAGAGAGGGCGGACGCGAAAATTAGTCCGGTGATGCGACGCGATCCGAAGGACTTCGCCCGGACGGTGCATCCTCGCGCGTTTACTACCTACTAACACGTAGAATCATGGATACACGTGTATACGTATGTGAAATATCTACACGCCACCCATCCATCCGCGGTGTAACGTCTCCTAAGAATTAGGCTAATCGCAATGATTCTTTGGCAACTCAGAGCTGTCGGATGTTCGACGTAACACACACACGGACACGCATATACGCTCACGCTGCACATATGCACACATATATATATATATATATATATATATATATATATACATACATCACGTGCAATTTTGCACGTAACTTATGCTGTACACACACACACACACATACTCTCATATGCAGGAGTTTACCGAATGTGTGTGTGTCTTAAAAACGAGTGGAATATCTTAAGAACGAAGCGATTGATAGAAAATATGGTTCAGACGAAAGTTATAAGGTTTGGAGGGGAATCTAAGTTAGTGACGTTAATTTCGTTGCACAGTCGATAATTCAAGGTCATTTCAAGATGAATTTCATTTTTTAAGTGGAATCAGATAGTTATTTTGATATAAATTAATTCTTCTATCCATTATGCGTATAAAGGTGTCAGAATAAGATCATCGAAAAGTGAATACTCTTCGACATATTTTACTTTCTATTCTGATACTTTTCAGATATGAAATATTTCATAAAGTCCTTAACTTTACTTTTCTACATAATAATATGAGATAAATCGACTACTGATATTAATCATTGCACATTGATCGCATCGATGCATTTGAAAAATACCAGAATACAAAGAAAAATATCTGGAAAACTATTCAATGAATTTTTTAACGATCTTACTCTCTATCTTACTCGAATACACAAAATAAATGAAAGAATCGATTTATGTCAAAAAAGCAATGATTCCGTTAAAAGAAATAAAATCGATCTGGAAGAAGCCTTGAATTACTGACTATACAACGAAGTTAAGGTCACCAAATTATGTCCCCTTCCAAATTTTCCAATTTTCATCTGAATAATTTTTATGTCAATTGCTTCATGTTCAGGAAATTCCATTGTTTTCACACTTTTGGTAAACCCTGTATATATATATATGCATATGTGCCCGTGCAAGCGTGTATATATCGTACGCGTGTGTGTTGTGTGAGTGTGTGTGTGTGTGTGTATGCGTGTGTGTTGTGGAAATATATAATATTTATATATATATATACAATGCATGAACAACATAAACTTACGCGATGGATAAAGATAAACATCACCCACCCAGCGTGCATCAGCAATTCTGTCTCTGTTTGTGTGTTTGGCACTCTCCGCTAGCCGGGAACGGGCTTCCCTTTATCGATATCAAAACTCTTTCTCGTCCCGGTCTTTAACGGTTCACCACGGTTCAGCCCTATTTACACTAAAATCCGCTCGAAGATCCGCTCAGCTCATCCTGGATACGAACTTATCACCTCCTGCGCGACGTGCGAGGATCAGTCTGCACCGAGAGAGAGAGAGAAAACAGACATACATGTGGGTTTCCTTGGCCCTTCCTCAGCCTTTCTAACGTTTCAGGCGTTATTATTTCTCAAGGGAGGCGGGATCTCCGCGGGTGAGGGAGTGACGCCGGTTTCACGGCACAGCAGACTTACCAGGTCGAGATTAAACTTCCAGCGACCGGAGGCTCGATTACAGCGGGTCCGACCTTCGCGTGGGTGCGCTGCAACCGAAGATAGGCCGGCATCATTGCGGCATCATCTTGCAGCTGGGTGGCTCCATATTGTCGGTGGGTACGCGCATGCTGCCATTTGTGATATAACCGTTAGCATCGACCATTACAGACACCCCGGGTGGATGATTATGATAGCTAATGTTTCTCTGCGACACCACCATGCTTTTCTCCGGCACTACAACGTGATCGTTGCTGCCGTGGGAGGAGAGGCAAGTCTCGCTCCCACGGCTGCTGGACGATTCGATCGGGTGATCCACGCGTATGGAAATGGTGTAGTCGGGCAGGTATTCGGAACTGACTTCTACCGTAGCGTACTCGCAAATGACGGATGACTTGGATGGATAATCTATCGGCATGTGTTGGATCGATGAGGCCGACCTGATCTCGTTCGGGTCGTTCAGCGCGGCGACGTGTCCGTTCGCCATGGCGTACAGGTCGGGCTCGGCGCGGCCCTTCGTCGACAGCATGGACTCCAGACACTGGTACAGCAGTAAGTAGTCCTCCTAAAACGGCAAAAACCGGCGGAGCGTAAGAACGGAACTCCCCTTTCCTCTCGGTGACCACACCGTGAACGCGTCCGTTAATTCTAACGAAAGAAGAGACTACTCGACGGACTTACCTTCGAGCGGAACACGCCGGGTCTCTTCATGTAGAGCAGCTTCGCGAACATGTAAATGTCGGCGGTTTGCTCGAATTCCAATTGTTTGTTCAAGGTGGTCAGTAGAACGAAGAGTGCTGCCTCGACTCCGCCATACCTGGAACAAGTGACGACGGATGTAAGAGGTCTGCCCTTCGTCGCTGAATTAGTTGCACTAGCTTTAGTTATTTATTAGTTCTCTTCTTCTCTTTCTTCCGTCAGGTCTTAATCGTATATCTGTCTGATTTTAAGTTCTACGAGTGTACTACTAGTTTAGCGAAAAAGAAACAGACCTTAGAGCGACCCTTGAATACAGAGTCTGGTCGATCTTTGCTTTGTAAACAAAATGGCGTCGACAACTTTCACTTAGAATTTCTAGTTACCGTAAGGTAAACTGTAACGTACAGTGTGATTGTGGCGAATACGCGCGTTGTATTAATTTGCTTAGAGATTTTCTCATTATGAGATATAAAAAATGGCACTGTAATGGCCTTTTCATCAGACATCGGATCCATTGATGTTTTAAACGTTATCACTTTGCAGAGAACAAGACTGGCTAGTTGATTGCTTCTCTTTCCGCGTGTAGTGGTACTCGAAGTAGAGTTACGATAGAGGATCGACTGGTTCCGCCATTTTGCCTCAAAGCAAAGCTTTTAGCGAGAACGAAATCCCCCTTCCCCCCTTTTCCCACCTGTCCATCACGACGATAGGACCGTTTTGGTAATCCCGATGAAAGTCCTGAATAATGTTGACGAAGGTTTTCGGATTGTTGTTGTGTGGCCAAAGTCCGCTCTGATTCGACGGCGCCTGGACGATCCTCGCGCTCAGCTCGTAGTCGTCCTGCAACGAGCGGACCGCGACCTCGAGCAGGATAGTCCCGTTCACGGTCTCCTTCGTTCCGCAGAGTCGCACGCGGAACGTCTCCGACTCGAGATCCTTCCCTTCGATGGGCCAAAACTCCGGATACTCCTGCGGGACGATCAGTTTTCGTCGTTCACGTTGGACGTCTTCGCTTTCTCGCCGCCTCGATCGATTATATTATTCGCGAGCTTAAACAAAGCGTACCTCGTCGCATTGAGTCAGCATGACGATGGTCTGTGCATTATGGTCCCACATCATCTGCCAGAACTCCATTATGGTATTCTCCATTGGGTGCTGCGTTATGATGAATTCGCGATTGCGTTGGAAACCTGCAAAGGGCGCCATTCTAACTATTGTTGTTCTTCGAGGCGCGACGATCGTCGTTAAGATTGTTGTATCGTCCGTGAGTGAAAATAATGGAAAAAATTACGAGCAAATGACGAGAAAATTACACGTTGATCCACGCTTAGGAGCGACGCCGGAAGCTCATTCAGAGGCCAAAAGTTATTCCACTTCACGTGAATGGATGAGAATGCGCGAATGTTGCTTTGTTTTCACGTGTCCAACGGAAAATCTAACCGAGATGTGTGTAAAAATTTTCCCACAAACTTTTCGTGCCTCTTCATGCCCGTAAGTTTAATAATCGAAGAGTATAGAAGTATAGAATATATTCTTGGAAGTTTTCTTAGTTGGAACAACGACACGTTCGGTACGCAATATACAAGCTGTAGAATTTCCGTATCGGGTAAATATTTACGCTAAAGGCCAATCTACAATGGCGTGAAGAATGCAGCAAGACGTAAGCGGTGAGCTAATTGACCAATTGGATTCTTACAGTCCAAGAATAATCGATCGTGATCGATCAACTGACTTACTGCTCACGTACTTATCGCGTACTTTACTTTGCTACCGCAGAACGGCTTTAACTGGTGACTAGAGACTAGAGACACTTAGAGAAATTTTTCATTGTTCTCGTCACGTACGCCGAGCAATGCTTCGGTTTGTTCTCGCGCGTATTTTCACTGTATAAAAGCACTTACGTGATTTCGTACAGCCGATAAAACGTAAAGTTTGCGAAGGAAGACCGGGCATTCTGTCGGTAAAGTTTCCAACTATATTTTGGGCATTGCTTGAATTACCTGAAACCCAAGTCGCGTTTATGTAGTCGCTGCCGTCGATGCCAGGTTTCGGCGTCAGGTGGACGCGCGCGTTCTCGATGGGGATGATGTCCATGTTGCGGTTCTTGTGAACGTTGCAGGCTTTGGTGGCGGATACGAGATTGAAGTCCTTGGGCTTCCACGACGTTACCAGCTGGCAAAGAGAAAAAGCAATCGATAAGATCCGAGCGTATCCGCGCTGCCGGACGCACCAGATGACCCAGGTCGATCAATTAGTCACCTTGTATTGAGCTTCAATATTGTTCCACGCGTCAGTCTTGTTATTCGACGGGCACAGCATGTCTTGGACGTGCTGCATCAAATTGTTAGCGTCGATGTTGGTCTCGCCGCTCTCTATCGCCTCCTGCAGCGCATCGTGGATGAAGATGTACTGCTCCTCCGTCTGCACCAGGAAGTTCCTCTGGGTGCGGATGTGCTTGAGGAAGCCGAACACGTTGATTTCGTTCTTGCTCTTGGCTTGCTTCAGCATCGCGTCGATCACGATGTACGTGCCGGTACGCCCGACGCCGGCGCTGCGATGAGGAAACGCAACGCAGAAATGAAAAACAAAGAAAACGATTCTCAAGAGTGAGATCGAAATTTCCGAATCGTATACAGATATCTTATCTGAAGATTGTGACTTAATATATCGAACGCGAGGTGTGCACAAAAAGGTTGCAACACTTCCCTTTCGACGAGTCTCACAACGCATCTCGCGTCCAATAGGAAAATGTATCTGTGTGAAAATTACTAAAAAGATAAATTCTCCTATTTAGACACTTTTGAATGAGTCTCGAAATTTACCAAAAAGAATGACGCAACCTTTCCGTGACTGACTGTACATGCACAGTAAGAAATGTCGTGTTAAATTTAACACACATGTCCCAAATGATCCACACAAATTTTGGTGTTAATTTAAAACAAGATGAATACGTTGAAAAGCAACGCAAATATTATGCTAAAAATCAACACAAAACCAAAGTATTCATAACATGTCAGTCGAACATTGAAGTATGAAACGTGTTACTTTAATAACACATTTAAACGCAAAAATCTTGAGACAACGTAAACATAATGTGTTAAGTTAATATGCGGGTGTGTTAAAAATTTGATGTGAAAAATTTAAAACAAAAATTTTAACAAGGATCGATTTTAACAAGAATACAATAAATGTTTTTGCCGCGTGTGAGATATAAATTACTTATCGAGATCGAGATCGCCCGTCAAGAGAGATCGTTGAACGAGATTGTTTATCACATGCAACGACAGTCACCTGCAATGGACCACGATGGGCCCGGCATCGGGCGGATTAGCGTTGGACGATTTACGAATGAAGCTGAGCACGGGTAACGGATGATCGGGTACGCCGTGATCGGGCCAGCCGGTATAGTGATACTGCCATATGGTACGCTCGCCTACATTGGTCCCGTTTTTCTTCTTCTTGATCTGCTTAAAGATTCCAAACAGAGATTTCTCGTTGGGAAAATCATTCGCTCACTTTCACGCCCGCCTTCCGTCCTTCTCAACCGCTATCGATTCGGCTCCGTCACGGAACGGGAATTTCTAACGTGTGCGTTTTATTTCTAAATATATACCTTTAAGTGTCGAATTTGTAGGGTACGGATGGTGTAGGTAGCCATGATGTCCTCCCTCACTAAAGTTACTTGAATATAACCGTAAGTTTCGGTTCCCTCCTTGGGCCAGTACATATCACATTTTCTCTGCAAGGACACCGTTAGCATCACCGTTCGGCAATAACACTAACGTCGACTCGAATATTCTGAATTAATTAAGAAATCAATTCCCTTTCTCGATCGTTAATGCTTCCCAATAAACACCAACTATCGGTAACGTAACACCAATATAAAAGTAAATCATGTTTAACAACGATTTAATTAAACTGCAGTACGTTAGGCTCTTAATAACTTGTAAACCTAGTAAACACCAATTGAGAGTAACATAACATCGATGTTATAATTTCTCCACAAATATAAATGCAATATATATTGCACTACGTGTTATAACACGTGGTGCAATTTAATAAAATATAATTAATTCGTTAAACATGATTTACGTTCTACGTGAATATCAGTGAGCGCTGAAAAGTTTAAGCCGAAGCAAATGAAAGGTTTCAATTTCTATTTGAGTAAAATTGAAGTTTTCAAGCGATGATACATGATGATAGCTAGACTTACACGGCCACGTTCAACCAGATTGGTGATCATAACGACTATCGAGACGCGTTGCTCCCAGACCATTCGCCAGAAACCATCGAACGTCGGGGGGAGCGGGCCCTGGGTGCCGATGTAAGCTCGCGCTCTTTGCCACCCATCGATGTAGTTCGCGTTTACGTAATCTTGACCTTTCTTAGGAGGCCCGCCGCCGCAGGACAACAATTGCACGCGGGTGTGGTCGTCTGCGTAGAAATGAAATTTCCCCATTTCAAGCCAATTCAAGCGGGAAGAAGAACACGTTTACGCTCCCAGTACGGACATGCGTACTACATAATTGCATTTCGTTGTCGATTTTTTTTCGAAAGCAGCGAGTCTTAATCGCCGCACGATTTATCTGTAGTTAAGCCCGTAGATATAGATAGCTGTCAGTCTAGAGTAAAAGTCAACGCATGATTCGATCGGAGATAACCCTCGTATCGGAGTATCGCTTGGCTTTTGACGGAAGATCGTTTGCCGCATCGATTGTTTTATTCCCGCTCGTGTGGCGAATAAAACAGGTCGATTTAACAGCCGCTCGATTGTCCGAATCGAACATAATTTTACTCCGACTGTCACGTGGAAGAAAATATTTTGCCGGCACAACGGATTTCTACGCGGACGGCAAGAGGATTTGTTTAGAATATTAATTGCTATCTGCTGGATATATGCTGGACGGCGAAATAATAATTTGGTTATGCCAATTGAATGTGCTGCCATAAGAGTAGAATTGTTTTGTCTGTGTGAAAAAAGTTTTTACCGTTCGCACAGCAACTGAGAAAAAATTTGCCGCGACGGCAAAATATTCCTCTCCGTGCGAATAATTGTTATCGTTTCCTCCGTTTGTCGTAAATTTATTTATCAATGTACGGCGCGGGCGCCGTTAGATCAAAGCGATCGATCAAAGGGATCGCGAAAGCGCGTCGGTGAAAATATCAATGAGGAGAAATTAAAGCGGAGCGAGCGCCGCTCGCGGCGGATAGTAAATAGGAATACATATTCATCAGAAATAGAACCGTTCTCGCGGCAACGTTGAACGTCATTGAGCTATATTAAGATTATATTGCGTTCATTTTGTCAATATTATCGCGATACACAGCGTATACCGCGCGACAGCGTACATCAACGCCAACTTACACGCGAGTATGTTCAGGTATCTGTTCTTGGCCTTGTTCTCGGCGAACTGGGAATTCTCCACCGTGTAATCGCCGGTTTCGGACTGTATCAGCTCGTATTCCTTGCTGAAACCGATGTCTCCGTCGGCGTGGAGGCTCGCGACGTGCTGCACGAACTGCTGGACGGCCACGGCGGTCCTCTCGCCGTCTTGCTCGCTGTTTTCCCATTCCTGAAGAGTGGGAACGTTTCGCGGCGGATAATCCAGGTAGTAGTAAGCGGTGTGGAAGCATTTCCTAAAAATCGGCCTGGGACCGAGAAAAGAGGATCTAGAAGCTCGCCTCTTCCACAAATGTACGGTTTAAGAGCCGCTCATGTTGCAAATTCAAGGTGTGTAATTTTACACACTTATGCGTGTAAAGTCATGCAGTCACTTTTTACGTATTTGTACGCGCGTTATTACTGTGATCTTATACAAATATATAGAAATTACACTGCGAATACATTCTGCAAATTCAACTGTGTAATTTTCATACACTTATGCGTATGAAATCATAGTAACGAATAAATGCGTAAAAAGTGACTGCATGATTTCATACGTGTAAGTGTGTAAAAATTATACACGATTTACAGTAATATATATTATGTATTTGTACGGAAAAAAGTCACGATTTTAATATCTAGGAATATTACGTCATCAAGTAACAACTTAAAGACATTTATAAAATATTGTGTCAGAATGTTTATAAAATCCACATAAAATCAATGTTTCAAAAGATCGATTTAAAGTTTCCTGCTTACTGAGAAATTTCTCAATAACACATTGACAGTTTCCTTTTTCAACGACAGGTCACATCGAAAGAAACAAAAAAAAAATAAACGAAGCTATATGTATAAAAATATCGGTTCTGAATTTTTCGTAAAAAAACCCCCACGAACGTGTCGAACCTGTGACATATTCTTGTCGAAATATGATAAATACCGCACCAAACGGAGCGACGAAATAGATTTGGCAATGTCATGTGCCGTCATGAGCCCGATAAAATTCCTTCCGAAAGATTTCAGTCGTTGTTCGTTGCTCATCGAGAAATCGTTCGAAAAGAAAACCGAGAAATGTTCGTTTTAATCGACACTCGGATGACTCGACCTACATGTGCGTTCCAGCGGCGAGGGTGACGAGTACCGTTTGCTTTATTTTAATCGGCGATCTCGTACGGTTTATAAGATAAAATTGCATAAATATAAGATAGGTCACGAGGGTCTGCTCCCTTCTCGCGAATCGGGTCCACCGCATGGACGCACTTTCGATGGGAAACGGGGCCTATAATCGCACGCACGATATCGCGCGTGCAGCTTTGCATTCACAGCAAGATCCACCCCCGCCTCGCCCGTCGCGCTTTCGATACAAAACGAGGGCTATAATCCTACGTGGTCACATGGGTTTGCAACTTTCCACATAAAGCGAAGTCTAAAAACGCTATACTTGGTTTCGCACGGAAGACGCACGGGATAATAAGGGTGGACCTCGCTTCGCATGGATGCTTTGAAACCCATATAGGACTCTGCACGATTGCAGACCTCGTCTTCGTGCAGAAAGGACTGGGCTCTAGGGATCCTGTTATCCACGAGCGACGCGTAAAACTGCCATCACGTTACTTAGGGTCGCGATCTTAGCGGCACATGGATGCCGCATTCGACACACCCTTTTACGTAGCTGCACAGAAGAAAAATTCGTCTTAATTTAGTCAAGAATAGATATTCTCATGTACAAACAAGAATATTATAACCCTCCTAGAAGATATTTAGCCTTGATTCGATTGAATTTGTACTGATGCAAGGTATTACTTGACTCAGTTTAAAACTGAAGATCTAAGAATTATTATAATATTCTTGTTTATGCACGGAAAACAATATTTCGCCGAAGCAGCAAATTTCCCAGTTACTATGCGGGCGACAAAAAGATTTGTTGTAAATATCAATTTATATTACTGCTATTTACTGAATATGTGGAAAGCAAAGTAATTTAGTTACGCCAGCTAAACGTTTCGCTGCAACAATAAAATTATCTCGTCCGTGTAACAAATCTTTCTGCTGTCCGCAAGCTAATAACTGAGAACTGCTGTGCCAGCGAGTCACATTTTCCCGTGCGAGAATATCTATCCCGATTTAAGACAAATTTTTCTCCCGTGTACCTGTTTCCTTGATCAATTTGTGAAACGAGCAAGGAGCGACGGCTCGAAGACCTCTCGAAGGTTACTCGGAGATTGACTCGTGATGTCGCCGCGACATATGTCATCAGACGAATCCTTATCTCCCGTTGCTCCGTTCACCGCGACATTCACCGGGTATTCTCTTTTCATTCACGGTATATGCATATATCTTCGTGGAAAATACAGGGAGGGTTGCAGATACCGCCGGTAAATCGTGAGTAATCAACGCGATATCGAAATAGTTGAAATATTTCAGCTGCAGCTTTCGTAACACCGATGAATCACGCTGGCGTGCGGGCGCGCGCGCGCGCGCGTATCCGCGCGTTAATGGGATAGGAATGAAATATCGATACGCGGAAGAGAATCGATAGCGATACGTCGTAATAATTTCCACCGTGGGGAAATACCACCGCCGCGCATCATCGCGCTGTCTCGCGCGCTTTTCACGCGGCCACCGGAGGCTCGCGCGCGCTTACAAACTCTGCCGGACTTACAAGCGGAGGAACTTCTTCATTTCGACGGGCTGCTCTCGACGACAGAATCCATCATAGGCGAGGTCTCTCCCGGACTGCGGAACGGCGAATCAACGCGCTCGTGGAATAACTCAACGACCCGAGTCACGGGCCCCGAGTCCGTGACCCAGAAAACGGGAGCTCGTCGGCGTCCGAACCTCCTTGCGTTCTCGAAACGTCACACACACACTCGGCGACCGAGAGAGAGAGAGAAAGAGAGAGAGAGAGGAAGAACGGAAAAAATTCGCGCGAGTTCGCGGCACACGCGTTCCCGCTCGCGGCCCAAGCGGCACAGGAGAGTCTCGGCGAGTCCGAGGCGTGCCGCGCGTCGCGCATCGCTCCGCACCGCGCGGCGAGTTCCTCCGGTGACTGTAAGACCATACTTAGCCCTTGTCGCACCGCTCGTTATCTCGCGTGATAACGAGACATCAGAGTGAGCGGCGGCCGGAGAAGTGGCATATATATATATGTATAAAGTACCCGAGTATCATCGTGCCCATACACACGGTGTCTCGCAAGTCCGGTCAATTTCAAAGCCGTATTAGAGGCCGTAGAGAGAGAGAGAGAGAGAGAGAAAGAGAGAGTCAATTCGCTCTCTGCTCGAGGCGAAGGTCGGCCGTGTCTAGAAATAATCTCGGGCTACTTCTCGAATGGTATTGGAAAGTTGGCTCGATATTCGCATATTCGGATTAGCTTCGAACCGTCCCGTTGCATCTTAACGATTGTAAACAGATCTCGCGGCGCACTCGAGTTTAATTTAATCCCCGGGGACGACGATCCTCTGTGTTCGACGTAAGGAATTTGGCATCGCGGCGGTTATTCTTCCCGAGAAAGAAAGACGCGGTCCACGGTAAATCGAGAGAAGGTTAGCGGGACGAAGCAGGCTGCAGCGGAAGACTGCAGGTGGGCGGAGAGGGAGAAGGTAGGGGGGGGGCTTGAATGGGAAAAACAGGTACGAGTGCGTGCGAGAAGGTGCACGTGATTGCACCGTCGGGAACTTTCTAATTGCTCGCGCCGTACACACCGAATCGCGCGAGTGCCCGAACATACCGATTGTCCGCAATTCCCAAGTAACGAAAATAATAGAACTCTCAGCGTTGGATCGGTCGTCGTCTGCGCGGAAGTGGAAGTGAAACCGGCGGCGATGCGAAATAACATTCGGCGGGATCGCGCCACGAAACACTGAAGCACGCGGTCGTCACGCGGGAGAAAGTAGATCTCTTGTCACCGTTCAGTCTCGAAATTTTCCGCGTGATTTCTTAAATCGAGAATAACGGTGGAGAAAACGAGAGATCGCCGTGTTTTTTCTTTTTTTTTTTTTTTTTGNGTCGTATCTCGACGCAGCCAAGACTGATGTTATATCATTGTCGTTACGTGGGTCGTTATGTACAAGGTGAAGCGATAACTAATTACCAGTTTGAATATCTTGGCAACATGAGAGAGCAAGATGAAAAATTGTGTGCAACATTTAAAGCATTTCGCGTGTGCCCGAAGGGTCCGTTCAAATTTTGACGTTCTAATTTAACGCATGATGAATCTGTTGAAAGGTAACACAAATATTATGGTGAAAAATCAACACGGAATTAAAATCCATAATATGTTAATCGACACTGAAGTAGGAAATGTGCTGTTTTCATGTTTATACGTGTTGAATACCGACTCAATACAGAATATTGAAATAACGTAAACATAATATGTTAAATTAACATACAGATATATTAAGAATTTAACAGAGGAATTTTAACAAGGACCGATTTTAAGGTAAAAATATGTTTTATTGTGCCGGGGGGAAAAATTTATCTAACAAAAATTCCATCGGCATCAATCGCTTCTGGCCGACATCTTTCTAAATGTAAACTTTTTTTTGTATCTTTTCGCCTGGTCGATAATAAAATATTTTTATTTTCCGAAGATACTGTCAAACTGAAAACAGTTGTCTCATAGTGTAAGCCTTTATATGGGGTTATCATTTAATCTCGACTCGCGGAGATAAACAGAATTACAGAAACGTCAGAGACTTAACTGACGCGATAATAAGAGATAATTGACGCTACGAAATGAGCTCGGGAGGGGCCCGGATTACGGCCGGGTTTGTTGCACATCAAGCCGCGAGATTTGCGGTTGCGCGATGCAGGAAAATCGCTTGATAATCGAGTCGGATGTACTAGAGTTTCCTCTGTGCGCGATAAGCTTACATGCATCAAAGCGAGACTCACTTCCACAATACGAAGGACGTAATCGCCAACATCACGGCGATACAGGCGCAGACCATTCCGGCGATCACTCCGGCGCTGAGATCTTTACTGCTGCGACGCATCAAAGGGGGTATCTTGTCGCAATCGCGGGTGACCAACACCTTCGCGGGTATAGAGCTCTCGCCCTGAATGATCAGGTGACTGTCTGTTGTGCTCTTGGTAGCCCCTCGTACCACAACTTCGTACACAGTGTTCATTGTCAGGTTGGGAATAACCGTCTGTAAGTATGAGTTCGCGAAAATTGGTGGATTAATTTCAAATTAGTAGAAATCACGTTCAGGGGGGAAGAAAAGGGAGGAGATGAAATTGTTCCTTTCTTGATTGGCAAATACTATTTTCAACGATCAATCATTATTACGCTATATTAATCTGGCGTTAAGAAAATCAACCGTTATCGGCATTTGTTGGAGGAAAAAGTGTTATTATGGGCCCCGTTATTTACATTTTGTACAATGATAAATTATATGATATATAGATGCCATAAGTGAAAGTAAAAGTACAAATATTAGACACGTACTTAATTCTGGACATTCTTGTTGTATCGGTCTTTAAATACGAACATTCAAACTTTCAACGTAGAATAGAATCTTTTAAATTTAATGATTATATATTCGTATTTAAAGGCCGAAACAACAAGAACGGTCTACAATTAGGTACGTGTTCAGGTATTGATACTTTTACCTTAATCGCTAGAATTCGTCACCTAACCGCGGTGATATTGAGGGGGGCCATTACACTTGCGATATCACCTTCTATCCTCTAACCGTATCGGATGAAATCATAAAAGAGACGTACCCCGCTCTCGAGATGATTTTTCTCGGCTGATAGCTCGATTTCCTCGTAATATCGCCCATTCTCCCGCCGGTAGTTGATGTAGTAGTAGTCGATCGAGCCCCAAAAGAGGGCCGGTCTGGCCCAATGGACGTAGATGGACTCGTGGGATTGGCAAGTTAAATTTAGGATCAAAGGAGCGCTTGGTCCTGTTATATCGGTCTTGCGAATAATCTGGTCCGAAGGCTCGCCCTCGTTTTTCCGTGTGTAAGCCTTCACCCAGATCTTGTACTCGGTATTCGGTTCTGCGGAATAACAACGAGCACCGATTACGATTCGACATAAAAAAGGAGCAGCTATTTCTTTCTCCGTTTCTTCCGCCTCGTCTCGTGGCGCAACGCGAGTCGTATCTGCTCAACAATCTTATCGGGGCGATAAAATCATTATTTATTCGTCCGAAATATATATAACGTCCGGCTTATCTAACAATACGTTGCATCGTCTGCGTACGTAGAGAAAACGCGTGCGTGCGTTGATAAGGATTCTCTCCGAGCTCTCCTTATCAATACGGCAAGTACACCGATCTACCTGAGACGTCTACCGCGGCCATTCAACGACAACTGAACGTTACATATTTAATCTTTGTGTTATCTAGTGTTAAAAGGACGCCACAGACACCGGCAGGTCGGCTTGAATTTTAAGCGTCGCGCACTTCCGCGCCATAAAACGAGTTTGTAACGCTCAATACGTAATCGAGTATCCGAGACATTTGCTCGCTCATGTGAGGCACAATTTTAAAATAAACAATTGCAACTGATTATCTTGTTCAGTAAGCGAGTCGGTAAATAATTGAGGAGTGAACATGGCGAACGATGAAAGTACCAAAAATTCTAATTTCCGTTTTTCACACCTAATGATGCACGGTAAAAAAATATTTTCTATTTGTGTTAAAAAATCAGTCCTTGTTAAGATTTTCATGTAAAATTTCTATCCGTGCGTTAATTTCACATATTGTATTTGTGTTATCTCAATATTTCGTGTCGATATTCAACATGTGTGTAAGTGCTAAAATAATACATTTTATATTTCAATGTCGATTAATGTTAATTTTGGATGTGATATTCGTATTATTTTTCAACATATTCACTTTGTGTTAAATTAACACGAAAATTTAAGTGGACCGTTTAGGACATGTGAAATGTTAAATTTAAGATAAAATCTACTGTGTAATATGTGCCACCCTTCACAACCTGGTGAACGTGGAATGAAAAAATTCGGTTCAGATACAATTTTTTATGTAAGATTTCGCTGATGTGATTGCACGTCGTGGAATGACTCCTGGCCCATGTAACACAAATGTTCGAAAGATATTCTAGAAGCGTCCGGAAATGTCTCTGTAACGTTTCTAGGAATGTCCTTCGAACATTTGTTCCGTATGAGGGAGAACGGTAATCTTGTATTTGGCACTTTCGCTTACCATAATCAGTCCTCGATTGTTTGAAACTTAACGGTCTCGATTAGGCACGAAGTCCTTAATTATTCGTAATTAAATGGCGCTTTTTCCTCGCAAGAAATCGATCGATGCGGCTTAGGTGTACTCACTCAGTTCCTTCAAGACGAAATCGATGTTCGTGTCGTCGGAATCCGTCGATTTATCGGGTATGTGCATTTTAACGTCGGTATAGTTGGAATGCATGTAGTAAACGCGATAACCAGCGATGACACCATTGGCACTCTCAGGCTCCGACCACGAGAGCTCAATGGTTGTTCCCGTGATACCACGAGAGGTGAGATTCTCCGGCTTTGTTGGTGCTGTAAAAATAAAACGCTAGAGTCTCTCTTTACAACACGTAGAAAGATTCGACGGTAACTTTTCTATTTCGTCATCGTTTACAATGCCGCGGCGAGACAAAGCGTTCAGCGGGTTCGCGCGTGGTTTGAGAAGTGCGATTTGGAATTTCTGTTTTTTCCCCTTCTCAATCAAGTTTCTGTTTTCTTCGGACTCTCCCACCCTCCGCCCTTGTCCCGGTTTCCGGCAGTGGAATACTTAATTGTTGTTGCGAATAGCGAAGATATCGATACCCGAGACACGCTACATTTCCATTTTCTAAAGCGAATAAATAGCACGGATGAATAAACGGCCGTCGAGGCGCGTTCATAAGAGAGATAAAATTTATTGAATATTCATACATCTGCGCTCTCCGCGCCGGCATTACCATACGACGCGCGATGTGCGCGCGCGTGTGTGTGTGTGTGTGTGTGTACGATATGAAACATGCAAATTGATTTGCATTCTAACCTCAGCTGCGTAAAATCATTGACACTAAACTTGCTTAGACAACCTTTAACGCGCTCTAAATGAAACGTAGACGCGCAGTACGAGAGACAGAATTGGCGGACGAGGTAGAAACGTGGAATTTCGCAGTTGGAACTGCGAAAATTCAACATTTCTTCTTCTTAATAGGATGAAAACAAGGACGACGTGTATGTATACATAGGGTGTTTCATATACGTGGACATAATTTTAGAAATTAACTTACCACACAAACATAGCACTAAAAGTTCATATAAACATTTGTCCCACTTGACCTTGTTTCCGAGCTGTAAGCATTTTCGTGCTTCACTAATCCTCATTACAAATTGAGCTAACGTAGCGTTTTCACACATTTCTGTCTTTAAAGGAAGTCCCCAAAGTGATCACACTTTGGGCTTGAAAACGAGTTTCTTAACGTTGTATTACTGATCTTCTCTAACACGTTCGAATATTACGAGTGTTGTTCTGGTTCGTTGGCAGCCTTCGTCAATACCCTGGCGGAGTATATCATCGTTGTCTCTACCATTGTATCGTAAACCATAGTAAAAAAATTTTGTATTTATGTTAAAATCGGTTCTTGTTAACATTTTTATGTTAAATTTTTAACATACCCGTGTATTAATTTAACATATTGTGTTTATGTTATCTCAACATTTTGTGTTGTGTCGCTATTCAATATATATATATACACACATAAGTGTTAAAATAACGCATTTTATATTTCAATGTCGATTAACGTATTAATTTTGTGTTTATTTTTGACATAATATTTGTGTCATTTTTCAACATATTCACCTTGTGTTAAATTAACACAACAATTTGAGTGGACTGTTTGAGATACATTAAATTTAACACAAAACTTTTTACTGTATAGATTTTAAATGACACCATATGTATAAATTCGATAGATTTCAGTCTGCGACTTAACAAAGTTAATAAACTTAACGAGAATGAGTAAAATACGAAAATGTCTGTAACGTGGAACAAAATCAATTAGGATTATGTTTAAATAAGCTTTTTGTGTTATATTTGCGTCCTGAATTCATTTTTGAAATTATGCTCACATATGAAAAACACTTTATGTATATGTGCAAAGAACTCTGTTTAACATTTAATCGTCGCAATTCGCCCGGAAAAAACAATGTCCATAAACACCCCTCCCGCAAATATAAATTTGCAGTATCCACAAGCTTCGTGCGCACGTTTAAATAATATTCTATCATTACACGCTAGTTTTCCGCGAGGTAATTCTTCATACACCGATACAGGTATTAAAGATCAAATATTACGTGCACCTGCTCGGCTTCCTTGAAATCGATCTCCGAAGGTGACACTTATCTCGATGCAACAAAGTGTAATAATATAAGTGTAATAACATATAAGAAAGTGATCAACCGGTCGTTTAATCAGAGATCACGCATGATTAAACGCAAGTATTTGATTGGCGTGACGCAACCCTTCCTGCCAACGTCGCCGGCTGCAGTTTCAGTACGAAACACACGCTCGTCGTCGTTTGAGCTGTTAAGCGGTCGCGCAAGATTGTCGCAAGCTGTTTTCGATGCCGTTTATCAACAATGTGGCGGATAAAGCTCGCCGACTCGCCAGCGCCGATTAACCATTCGCAGTCTTTCTTTCCCGCGTTGGCGCTATCGCACGCGCGCTTATCGAATTCGCGTCTCGGATCAACGACGCGAGGCTGCGTTCGCCTTAGAATTTACCTTCGCGAACTCTTTACGAGCTGCGACAACACGCGTGATGTCATGTCGAGCCTGTGCACGCGCAACGCTTTTGTATTACATTATCGGCCTGAAAAAACGAATACGATTGTGTGGACCGAGCGGACGCGCGCGTGTACACCCGCAAGGTCGCGATCCCGCAATCCGCCGTGCCGCGCCGCCGCCGATACGTAGTATGAAAAGCGAAACACGCCGTAACGTACTCGGAATGCGCTCGTGGCTTTAATCGCGATACGTTCGTCGTATCCTGTGACGAACGGCCGAGGAACGACCTGTTTCGAACCGACGGGGAGGAACGAGCGCGAGAAAAGACAGAGAGAGAGAGAGAGAGAAAGCCTTATATTTATTGTGCGCTTTGGGATTGATACTTATAAATCTTCTTAATGTATAATAATGTAGGAATTATTCTCGAAATATAATATGTATAACAATCATAAAATAGAAATGAAGTAAATCGAATAAGATGCACTGTCAACCAGGTATCACGCAAGTTTGGTGGTGCAGGTCGAAATAAAAACCTTACGTAATTACGAGGTGCAACGCGACGATATCTCGAAATTCGAGGTATTTACTAACCTCCGAATGTCCCTCGTAATTACGTCGAGTTTTTACTTCACGCGTACCTCCTTAACTTTGGCGATGCATGGCTAACGGTGCACGATGAGATTAAAATGAGAGAAAAACTAATTCGAAAGGGGAGACAGATTGAGCCTGATTAGTAATGAAACAAGCTCACCGGCACGTTCACGGAGAAATGAGTTTGAAATAAATTTGAAAGTTTCAGTCTAAGATTATTCAGTCTAAGTCAGTCTGAAGCTAAGAGAGAGAAGAAGGTCGTTCCGGCCGACGCTAGGGCGACGAGAGAGGAGCGAGATTTAAACGAACGTCGTTTATGCGACCTCTCGGAGGACCGGAGGTGGCGGATAGACGGCTCCATCTCAGATGCCAACGTCCGGGCGGATTATCGTTTTCCACGGAGCCGGGGAGAGTTAAGTAGGCGAAAGTGCCTTTATTAGGATAGGTTCGCAATGAGTAACGGTCCACGAGTGAAAGGAACAGTCGATAAGAAACTGCTCCGAGCTACCTGCTCTGAACCGGAGTCGCAGGCTCGCGCGGCGATTTGCGCGCCGGTTTGTTGCATCTCGCAAGCCCGTTACGCGATGCGCGTTACGTTCGAGAGACCGCTGCGACTGTCCCCGCGCGCATGCCGCGGCTCGTTCGAATAGAAATCCTTGCTCGATCATCGTCTGAGATGACCCTGGGACGTTAAACGACGTTTACAAGAAGGCTGCTCCGAATGGCGACTTCTCCCGCGAAATGAGAAGAGCCAAGGATGTCAGGTTCAAGTAAATAATTACTCCGATACTTCCTTGATTAATTTTCATTTGGGTCAAATAAAGATTTTATTTGGATATAAAGATCTTTATTTATTGAAATAAATACTAACAAATGGGATAAATGTAGTGTGGATGCGAGATGAGTTGCGAAATTTATCGAATAAAGATAAGCGTTGCCGCAACGTTGTCGCAACGTGACCGACCATACCGTTCAACTGATTTCGATACATTGTAGCCGGGTAAACACGGGTATGTCGACTTTCTATGTATATGACATTTTCGATCATTTCCCTCCAATTATCGCATCGTTTATTTCTGGACTTCAGGATTTCCCCGGCGCGATCCGCGCGGTACGGCGGCGCGGCTACCTACGACTTCCTCCCGTTCGTCCGGATTAGACCGCCGACCTTGATCCTGACGCGAAAATAGAGTGGATTCCGTGCGAATGATAATGCCGTTTTACGCTCGCTTTAACGGTTTTAAGGCAGGATGAGCGTATTTTCATAATTTCATACCCCGATGACACTGAAGGTCAGTAGGTAATCGTTGCTATGGCGATACCAGTGTCTATACGCCGCGCGTTGTGGGAAAAAAGGAAAAAGAAAAAAGCGAATGACGACGCGCGCTCCATTACAACAGGGTCGCGCGAAATGCACGGCCAGATCTGGTCGATGTCGCGTTTTTATCGCGCCCTTACCGATAGGATCACCCGCGCGGTTTAACGCGCGAACGTCGGAGCGCGCAATAAAAACGTTACAAAATATCGTTTCCCCGCTACGGCCGGCGGCCTCGCCGGCAATTACAACGGATTACGGCAACCGTTCGCGCATTCGGTGTCATAACGCACGTGCGTATGCACGTACGTACTTGTTGGCGCGCGCGCACTCCATTTGCGCAACCGTGGGCGTGTGCGTATTGTGGGTGAGCGCGATTCGAAGGAAAGGTGAGAGAGTGAGACGCGTCCTTAAACGCGGCGTCTCGAGAAACGAGCACGCACCTCGTTGCACCTCCGTTCTGCGAAATCGAGACGGAACGGGAAATGAGTTAAGCGTCGATTACACGAGTGGACAATCTTACTCGCAAGGTGATTACGAAGTAGCCGCGTGCTGAGTAACGCAATACGCGACCGACCACGACGACGACCACGACGACGGCCACGAATGCTGAGGCATTTCCTAGTGAAACTCACGAGGTGCGAGCGCGTGTCTCCGCGCGATTAATCGCACGAACGAACGGACGACCGGGTGGGCCGAACGTTTTCACCACGCAGCCGGTGTTCGACTCGTTCGCGCGCGTGTTTCGCAGAGGCGTCCGGCTTTCTTTAATTGGACGCGAGCCGCCGATCCGCCTTATTAGCTCCGCACGTTCATCGAGTCGAGCTCCGAGGAGCCCACGGACGCCTTCGAAGTGCAATCAGTGTATTAT